AAAAAAATTAATAAAGTAAGGAAAAAATAAAAAGAAAGTAACTAAGCTGATGTCCCGTCCGTTCGTTCACCAAACCAATACCCTACAGTACATTAAAACTATATTAAAACATTTCTAAAAAAATTTTTGCCCCCCCCCCCCTGGAAAGTTAATTGATTTTTTGCCCCCCCCCCCTAGAAAGTTTTCTGCGGGCGCCCATGTTTCCACATTATCATCATCAACACCATTCTCATGCAAATTAACTTTTCACTTTTCAAAAGGCCAAAATCCTCTACTGCCAAAATTTTGTCACCAAATCCTTTAAAGCCCCTCCCCTCGTAAACCGATCATTATATTCTCGTCTTTGGCACCAGCATGCAAACCGTCTGTTTCCATTGGTCCATTCTGTTCATCAGGTGTAACTAATAAAGTCATCTCCAAACGCCTCAGTTCTTTTCCTGGCCTAAGCCCCACAACTAAATGCTTCTACAATGTCCCTTATGTTCATCATCACGTGATACAATGTGCTCAAATGTTACATCTACTTTATTCACATTCACTGAAACGTTGAAAAGTTCAGGAAATGAAAAATCCCCTAGGGTAAGATTCAAGTCTTGTGATTGAGTGGTTACATAATGCACTTATTAGGAAATCGAGTCCGGTTTTGAGTTCTCCGTTTGGATTATACACTGAGTTGAGCCTTGATATGAACGTTGGACTGAACCAGGAACTGAGGGTAAATCAGGTTCCTGGATTGAAGTTAAGGTTGAATCCTGGTTAGTAGGTATAAGAATTGAGTCCTGGATTATGAGTATAGAGTTGAGTCCTGGATTGTGAGTAGAGTTGAGTCCTGGATTGTGGGTAGGGTTTGAATCTGGATAGTGTTGAGTCATTCACTGTAGGTAGAGATGGGTCTTTTCCTGTATAGAGGTTACACCCGAAATAAACTCGAACCATTTTGCTGCAGTATTTTGCATCCTTGTGAATTCCTTACGTTGGACAAATGCAGAATCAGATATCCTCTTGTCAATGTACAATTTCTTGTAAATAATACCAGAGGTGAAGTGGCTCAAATAATTACAATTTTACTATCCACATTCGGTGACATTCATAATAAGAAATAAATCTCACTAAAGTAAATACGAAAAACTCTTGGAACTTATCATATGAATACTAACTTCTGGATAATCTTCTTTACTTAATAATGTGTCAACAACCGGTTTTAACTCTTCATTTAAAACACCAACGCTCTCTATTCAATCGACTCTTAAAAACTTCTTGATTCAACTCCCATCTTATTCAACTGCCTTTTCATGTTTCACTCTACGCCCTCATTGGCCCGTTTTTCTCTCAAATCCCAATACTCTGTAGATTATATAATTAATAACTAACATATATTACTAATCTTCCATACATTCATATCCATGGCACATCTCGAGTGACTGTTCTGCTATAAGTTTTAAGACATTGAAATAATTTAACATATGGAATATATATTTTTTAAATAGCATAAATTTCCTACGTTAAAAATGTTACTAAATATAGTGGAGTGCTTCAAAATACTTGAAACAACCCATGCAAAAAAAAACAAAAAACGCATTATTTTGTTTTACTATACAGTATAGAGCGTTCAAAAAGAGATTTGACGAAAATTTTATCGTGTGAACTGAAATAAATTATAACAAATTTCCGTTCGATCAAATTTCCGTCGATCAATTTTCCGTCGACGAAATTTAGTTCAAACAAATTTCCGGTAACTGCCTCATTAAAAAAAATAATTATTGTTTATTTGTGTTTCAAATCCTGGCACATCTCGAGTTACGCGTTTAGAGATTTAAAGAGAAAATAGATTTTAAAATATTTTATTATATTATGATAACATTGTCTTTTTTTCTGGGGTATCGGAAAGCCTTAGATTTTTAATAAAATAGAGAGAAAAAAAAAAACGTTTAAGAATTTCGCGTTAAGAGAGTCACAACGACCAGAATTGATTTTGAATTTATCAAACTTTTTCTGGGGGATGACTCACTGAGCCCCCTCCCCACTTTCACCCAAGAGCCTTCGACACCTCGGTTTCTGCTTCCACCCCACCCCGATCCAATTAACAGTACCAGGGGAAACTAAGCTGGGACCAAAAGCATACCGTAAAGATGTCACGAAATGGAATGAATGCACGTAATGTATGGTGGAGGACGCCGAAATCAGTACTAGGCACGGGCGCCACAATGCTATTTTTTTAACACTGATATATTCAGCCCCCTACCCACTCCGAACATCATATATGCCCCCACCCCCGCGATCGGATTATCTTTAAAGAAACACTGCCTAGTGGTGCCGTAGCCAGTGAGAAGAAACAAATGGGTAGTGCAAGGTATGAATCTATTGCCCTTGTCAAAATTGTTGTTTGTTAAAAAATCATTTATTTGCTTGCTTGAATAGAATTTCATATTGAAAAAAACAGATTTTCGTGAAAGAAGAATATTATTTAAATAATGCCCCTTTTGCAAGCATTTTTAACACTGGCTATATTTCGAGGACACCCCCTCTCTCCCCTCCCCCCCCCCCCCCCAAAAAAAAACCCAAAAAAAAAAAAAAAAAAAAAAAAAAAAAAAAAAAAAAAAAAAAAAACAAAAAAAAAAACAGCAAAAGGGGTGACCATTAATTACGTCAACAAAAGGGGGGGGGGGGGGGAAATGTTTGACAGTTGTTGACAAGGGGGAGGGAAGTTTTTTTAGATTATGTGACATCAACAATCATCTTTTCTCTATTAAAATTGAAATCTTAAAAATTGACTGGTGTGACATTATTTAAAAAAAAATTATAAGTGTAAATGAGTGTAAATAGTTATATATTTTTAGGCTTTTAACAATGTAGGGCCTAAGATTTAATTAATGTGTGCACTGCAGATGGCTGGTCAGAATGTTAGCACGCTTAGTTAGTGCAAGAGAACTCAAAAGTTGGCCTCTCTTCACCTGTAGATTCTGTTGCAGGTATGGCACAAGGACAAGGTTCAAATGTCATGTGCAGGCAAGATAAATGATGTTGATAGAGTAGGAATGCGATATTTTGAAAATTAGATGGGTGTAAAGTGAGTAACAATAATAACATCGCTGCTTGAACGGATTTGCAAAATCTGTAACATCTATTTTGCATCACAAGTCACGTTGAAAAAGCATGTTAAACAGAACCGACAATGCCCTCTTGAGCATAAGAAATTAGCACCAGCTCCTCAACAAAAAAGGATTCCACCAATTCGAGTAGCTGCATGGAGACAGAGAGAGCTTATGGCAATTATTGCTCACACCGACACATCTTCTATTTTAAGTGTTGAATGGTTTGATGAGGAGGATGTTGACTTGTCTGGTATATCAGTGCCGAAAGATGAAAATGATCAATCAGCTACTATTAGACTATGCCCATCAGGGGCGTAATTTCATGTTTTTTTAGGGGTGGGGGGAGGGAACCAAAACTTGGTCGGCTTGTTAAGTTGTTTATTACTGTAGTCGCCACAGTACATAGCAATTTAAATAAAACCTGCAAATTAGGGGGTGGGGGCAAATGTCCCCCTGCCCTACCCAAAATGATGTCCCTGATGCCCATTGTTACGATAGAGCAAACCTGGCTACTCCTTGGGAAGATGATATCAGTTAGAAACTATACTATATTGTCAGCTTTACTGACAATAATCATATTTATGCCACAAACAATGATATTTGGTCTTTAACAACATTTCAATTGATTCTGCATTATAAAATTTAAGTGTAAAAAGTTTTTAACTTATTGATTAATTAACAAGCTAAAGATGTAATGAAATGTTTTCCTACAATTTTATTGTCATTAAAATAGATCAGCAAAAGTAAAATGTATTTATAAATTTATTTATAACATAATTCCTCTTTTTTTTTTTTTGNCAAAACCAACCCCCACCCCAAAAAAATCAAAACAAACAACAAAAAACACACTTAAACTTCTTCATTTTATATTTTTTAACCAAGTAAAAGTTCCGTAGCGCCCCCCCCCCCCATATTATTTTTCTTCAACTACACAAGTATAAGTCGTTACCATCGGCGAATTATGACCTTACTTTCAACCCTTGTAGGCAACAGTAACAATGCAGGTTGAAACTGTGTTGACATATAAGTAAGGGGTCGCCAACCCAGATGGTTTCGCGGGCCACTAACTAACTAAGTGGCCCACTTTGAGAGCGAGTAAACCGTTCGCGGGCCGCTTGTCATTAAAACTTTAAATATTAAAATAAACATCCAGTAGGCTTAAATGGTTAATATAAATGTTTATTTCTTTTTATTGCACATTATGAAATAATTAATTGAAAAAAAACCAACAAACAAACTAAACTTATACACTATACCTTTATCTTTTCTCTCACGTTTCTTTTAAATTTAAATATGAATTTCTGTGTGAATTGGATGTATAAACGAATACGTTTATTGTAATAAATCGGGGGCCCCAATGTTTGACATGGTGGGTGGCATGCGGCCCGCGGTTTGCCCCCACCCATGAAATTAGCCTTCTTAACTCTCAGTAAAAGTCTTAGTTATTTTGAGTTTGATTTTATACTTGAGAATTCATTTCCATCAATATGCCATAAATTGTGAAACCTCCCATACTTCGATGATCTTAATTCCTTGAATGTTTCTAAATTTTCACACCCATCAAAGAGTGAACGGTCAATTTAATGCCAGATTGTCACAAATTTTAATATTTTAATTGAAATAATTTTAAAATAAAAAGTTTATTCCATAGTTTTTCTTCTCTAGTTAAAAAAGACCACAAAGCCCATACTTCCGTTGGGGTATTTTACATATTGGGACGTCATTTAAGGGGCTAACCAATCGGGTTCAGATTATTTTTAGCACACTCCTATTTAGAGGAGTTTTCCGATTGTTTATCGAACAACTGCTGCCTTAAATTAATAACTAAGACTTGAAATCGCGAAAGGAAAAATACAGAACTTGATTTTAAGTATAGAAAAACATATAATCTTATGATCAGAGCTATACTGACTACATTAAAAAAGATTTTCATTAAGATATTTGCTTCAATCCATAGCCCACCCCAAACATTGGAAAATGCAATGGCTCTCGCCGTGTGTTCACGCTGGCTTGCATTATGACCTCTTTGTGACGGAGAGACAGCATTAGAGATGTGTGTCTGAATTTTATCGAAATGCTTAATCGGATCGAACCTAAACGATTCAGTTATGGTTTATTTTGATTACTAGAGGCGTTTTCCTTCTTGAAGTCAGCGAAGTACCTGTGTTTACTTATTTTGTGTGCGTGTAAAAGATCTTTGTGTTTCCCTCCAAAACACAAGTAACATGCCGCTCCTTCGCAAGCAACCATTTCACAGGCAGAAAATACCAGAGGATCTCGACCCGGAGGAAGAAGTTTTCCATTGCAAAATAACAAATGAAATTTTCAGAGATTACAAGTAAGTAACGTCCTCGCTGTAAGACTAATTTCTTGGGGAGGCCCTTTAATGTTGATTGTTTACATTTACTTCTACATTTATTTCATAATTTTGATGATTGTAAAACATTGTGTGTTGAGTCGAGGAAGCACAGCAACGACCTCCATTGGATTTTAATGTCTAACTAAACTGAACCCTGACTGCAGCGCCATTTTCCCTTCTCATTTCTCAAACTCTATCCTAAATCTTTGTTGTTAATTAATTTTAATGAGAGGCTTTTTATTTCACTTTCAGTGCATTCTTTGAGAGAATCATCCTATGCAATAGTCTGGTATGGTCCTGTGCTATCACTGGCAGGTCTGGCATGACCTTTCAGGAGGCTGAAGAATGTGAAGAGAAAGCTAAAAAGAATTTAGCAACTTTTCAAGACAGTTTGAAGAAGCCTTTGCTATTTTTGGCAACACTTACACACAGAAGTAGATTAAATGATCTAAATGATGATATATTTCTTTTTGCCAAGGATCGCTTTTTCATTGGAGAAACTCTTGATTATGTTTCTGGTAACCAGAGGTAATTACCTTATTTAACTTATTTCTATAGGGCAATTGGGCTCAACAATAATTTGGAAAATTATTATAATTTAATAGAAATTTAGAGGGCAAATCCAAAAAAAAAAAAAAAATAGATCTTTAATGAAACCTTTATCTTTTAATTTCTAAAATAGAATTGGATAGCACAATATATATATAAATATAAGATAGCTACTTTGATACAACGAAAATAAATTTGAAGAAAAACCGAATTAGTCTTTTTAGAATATAGTTTGTTTAAATAGAAAAAAGAAAACAAACAAAAGAAGAATATAAAAAAAACAATTTATTATGCTCGTGTATGTTTTAATGATAATTATTCAATTATTTGCAGAAATCCTTGTAAAGTTATTGGTGTTGTGCCACCTAGAGAAGCAAAATCAAAATCTAATGGGGAAGTCATTGTCATTGAAGATTCTGATGAAGATTCCAATTCTACTGTTTCAGAATCCAAAAGGTTGACCTTAAAAATGTTTCTTCCCATTTTATATAATGACTTATTAAATATTTGTTTAAAATTGAAGTCCTTACTCAAAAAGTATACATTGGTATTTTTTTTTAAGAGTCTGATCCTAAATTGTTTTATTGTGTATAAACAGAGCATAGTATTTACCTCAACAGTTAACTCCTTGTTTTTTTTAAATTGTCAGCCAAAAGAAGAAGAAAGGAGGTGGTATTGATCCAGTCAAGTATCAATACATAGTGAAGATTATCGATAGCTCTGACATTGAAACAGTCCCAGCAATTACATTATGGTAATTATCTCTCTTCTTTTCATCATTTTCATCGTGTTAGTTTAAATGAATAGTCAAAATATTTCAAGAAGTTAAATATTTTGTTTAAATTATTATGATACATACAATTTATTCCTTTTTTTCCTTTTTTTAGTCGAAAAAGAGGGCTCTATTCTAGAGACAGAAGTAAATTGTTTCTTAAGCAACACTGTGCTCCTTATGATGGTCTGTGGAAAGTAAAGGTAATACAAAGTTATTAAAATATATATTCCGAAATGTTATACATTACTTTTTTTTAGAAATTTAAAAATATGTCAGGGTTTAAAATTGTTATTTGAAATTCTTTCAAAGTATATAATGATAAAATATTTGTGGACGTATTCAGGAGGCGACTGTGAAGAAACTGCACTTGGCTGCAGCAAAATTTGAGGATTTTTTTGCTGGCCCCCTTCCGGAATTTCAAGTCTCTGCTGTCAAGAAAAAGAATAATGCTAAGAGATCACTAGATGTCGATGAAATTGATTTAGATTTGGAGGAAGTTCCAGCTCATTCAAGCAAAACTGTGAGAAGTAACAAAGGACAACGAATTATTGCAGGTAATAATGATATGTGCATACTTAATTATGTTTTCTCACATTTAAAGTTGTAAAATCTCATAAGATAGATCAAATGCTAAGTCACTAATTAATATGTTGAAGTAATAAAAGTGAGAAATACATTATTCAAAAAAATATCTTTCAGAACGCCAAGTTGCATACTCACATATTCCACCATCAGAGGATAAAGTTTTGATGAAAGAGAAACTTAAACAACAAAAAATTGATGACAAACGGAAGACACTTGAAGAAAAGGAAGCTAAAAAAGAAGAAATGAGGCGTCAGATTGAAGTTGAAAAAATGCGTAGAAAGGAAGTAAAAGATAAGGTCTGTCTTAGCTCGTCTGATATAATTTGTAGCAATATGGAACAAAACATAAATCATTCCATTTTTTATATAAATGGTGTAAAGAATTTATTTTTGTATCTTTTGCAATCTTATAATACTTTGTCTTATTTTAGTTTTAAATAATTCTATAACATATCACAGGAGCGGATGAAGAAGCTGGAAGAAAAGAAACGGGAGCTTGAATTATACAAAGAGTGGTCAAAGCCTAGAGATGATCTTGAGTGTGATGACTTAAAGGTTTGTATTTGCTTTTGTCAATTTTAGTATATAGTTGAATAATTACATTTGTTGTGTTATTGAAGTAATTGAAACATTAAATTGTTCTAGGAAATGCCAGAGTTTGTACCTGTGAGGACCAGAGTTCCAATGGAATTATTTGGTGATGCTGTCATGATCCTTGAATTTGCACACATTTTCAAGTCTATATTTGACTTTAAACAGTTCTTTCCTAAAGGCTTTACATGGGGTGAGTAACTTATTGCAATATTAACTTTTACTGTGCTTAATTTGTTCAGCAGAGCAGTACATTTTGTTTTTGCCTGCCTCTCCTCCAAAAGATGGAGCGTTACAAATGGCCTTATGTCATCCCCATTCATGAGTAAATATCAGGGTTGCTAGCACTTGTCAGCCAATTATGGCAGCAGCTTTCTTAGGATGGAAGCTTACCAAACTAAACATCTCAACCACTGACGACAGAATACAGCAACCAATAAGGTGTGGGATTAAAAAGAAAGTAAGTTACAATATTAATTTTAAATTTAAAAAAAAAACCCAACCCATTCCCCCAAAAATACTTTAAAAAGCAGTCAGCTGAAAAATATATTGAATAAAGTGCTACATGGGGCAGGCATTTTTATGTATGTTGTTAAAAACAAAAGAGAGCTAATTTTAAAAGTCTATGAAATAACCTAAAAAAAACCATCTAAAAGATAGGTTACATCATATCAAGCTAATGAAGTCTATTGACAGCTGGGGAAAAAAGGGATGGTGTAGTGTCACTGTAACAATGACATTGCCACTGAAACAAACAAATATAAAGTGATAGGGTGCTTAATGAAAGGAAGGAACTAAGGCACAGTCTTAGTCTTTTACAAACCTAAGCTTTTAAAAATGTACAATTCCTTTAAAAACATCAAAATAAAACATTTATATTTTCAGCTAACATCTTGAGCATTTTTAGAAGGCCAATTAATCCGCCACAGAAAGTTGTTAACTATTATCAGCATATTGGAAGATTACAGATTATTGCAGATTAAACAGTGCAACCCTAATATTAATGCTACCCAAAAATCTTTTGTTATCAGATGATTAATGATGTTCTTTGTTTTTTAAACTGTTTTTAGGTATGATTGAATCGGCTCTGGTTGACCATGAACCTGATGGTCCACTCTGTGATCTGCTTCAAATGCTTCTCTGTGCCTTGTTCAATTTGCAGGAAGAAGAGGCAGATGAATATCAAGAGTTGGAGAAAGAAAAGGATGACAGTGTTAAGTTGAGTGAGTAACTTATTTTGTTTTAATGTATAAGTGAACCTTCTGTGGAGGTATCCTTTAAGATTATTAGTTTTTTATATTTTTTATCTTGTTGGTGCAGTGAAAATCAAAATTCTTCAGCTAATTTTAGTGAAATTCCAATTAATTTAATTTATCTGTCTTTCACTAATAGGTTATCTTAAACTTTTTTTGAAAGTAAAGTTAAAAAAAAATTTTGGTACTATTTAGAAATTGACTATTTTCTTTCTTTACATATGGTTCATTTCATTGCAAACCATTTCAAAATAGTAAATGCTAACATTAGGTAACATTCATTGAACCTAAAAAATGAAATGTGTTTTCATTACTTTGTAAGGCTTTTTTTTTAGCATGTGTAATAACAACTGAGATTATTAGAAAATTATTTTTATCTATGAGAAATTAAAAAAATATTTGCATTAAATGCTGATTTGGTTGCTTGATAATATAAAAAAAAAAATTGATCATAACAAAAAAAAAAAGGATTTCTCAACTTACAAAGCATTTGAAATAATGTAAATGTATTAAAATGTCACAAGAGAGAGAAACATTTTGTATTATGTTATCCCATAAAATCGTACCTCATTAATTTCAATTATATACATTAATTTGAGTGGTAATTTTTCAATCCTTTGCATTTTTTATCTCTTGTCGTAGACGAAGAGAAGGATGATGACCTTGATGAAGAACAAACAACAAATGAAGTGATTCGTTCTGCTACAATAGTGGCACAGTTTTCACAAAATACATTAGGTAGTTTGTTTACTATTCATAAATTATTATAACATTCTATATCAGAAAACTCTTTTATTCATCAATGCTATATTATTTAAATTGCACCAAAAGTTTCTTAATAAATGTAAGAATTTTCTTAATTGTTAAAAAATTAAAAAATTTGCCATATGCTTCTATTATTTTTTTACAGGCATGCCATTACGAGATACTCTCCTGGACCAATTCACTCTGTCAGAGATAGTGAGGATACATTTGATGTCATCTGGTGCAAAGGCAAGCAACAAAAATGCACGTTTTCGTTACCAGCAAAGAGGAGGCTATACATGTCATGATGACCCTGGCTTGGAGCTAAAGTTGGGAGATCCAGGACTGGTCAAATCCTTGGCAACTAAAAATGTTTTTGATTTAACACCTCGTAAGTATCATAATGTAAGAGTGTTATTTACAGAAAAGAAAAACAGGTGTAACAGTTTGGGATAGAATATTTGCAACCTCTATCAAAATCACTTGGATATGAGGGAATACTTCATATATTGCTGTAATAGTCTTTTAATGCTAGCTTTACCAGTTACAGGATTCTCTTGCAGATGAAAAAGCCAAAGTTATTAACACTCTCATACAGCAAATTCTTACATTTGCGATGGTCCGAGACATGATTGAGGAATCTGGAGAAAAGCTCAGGATCAAGAAGTATGATCTCAAACAGCTGCAGTGGGCAGAACAGAGGAGAGAAAGGGAAGAGCAAGCAAACAGGTTTGTGTTATAAGTTTATAGGTTAAGTACCAGGTCATCAAAAAATTATGGCCCAGCAAAGGAATAATGTGAACCGTCAACAAAATATTTAGTCATTAGTCTGTCCCATTTTGACCTCTCAATCCTGAACCACACAATTTTAAAGAGTAAAATATGCTTTAACTTAACATGTTTTGTATGCTTACACAGTAAATGAGATTTATCTTAAAATGACCTCATTTTCAGATATAAGAAAATGATGGAGGAAAAAGCTAGGGAACAAGCAAGGAGAATGCAGCAGTTGATGGCAGAACAGTCAGGGTAAATTCCTTGATGTTAAGAGAGCTTCTTATGTTATTTGATGTGTTAGAAAAACATTCAGGCTATGGTAGCTTAAAGTGGATGCTGGTTCTGTTATATTTCTTCATTCTATTTTAAAGCCAAGAATCTCTTTTTAACTTCTTACCGTTTATAATTTCAAAATTCCTCAATGTTATTAACATTCTTTGTCCCAGAAAAACAACAAGTTCTCCAGAACCAGAGGAGAAATCTTCAGAGCAGAAAGAAGTTGAAAAACAAAAAGAGCATGAGACAGACACAAGAAAGAAGGCTGAGTTTGCCAAGAAAGAGTATGAAATGCTCGATGAAATTATGCTTCTTCAGAGAATGGTGTCCATATACCCTATTGGTAGAGACAGGCTGTTTCGAAGATATTATTTCTTTTCATCTTTAAATGGACTTTTCATTGAGGACCACGAACTTCATGTTCCAGCAGCAATGCTAAAACCAGGAGTTGCAACTGCAGGAGCTGGTTCCAAAGTGAGTATGATTGAAGCTGTCAAAGTAATTGAATTAACTGTCAAGCTTAAAAGAAAAATTTGTCTTGTAAATTTAGTGCAGTGTAATAATAGTCTACTGATTTGTACATCACACAAAAGTAATGCAATAAATGCTTTGAATTCTTCTACTACAGGACCTCTTAAAAATAGTTTATTTTTAACATGACAAACTTTCATGTTCAAATTAGGTATTTGGTTTTTAAGCTGTAACATACATTCTTAAAAACTAAATGTATGAAATTGTAACTTCTTGTGCTTATTGCTTATCAATGTTTATGTTTCAGTTGAAACTATTACCAGAGTTAACATTTCAGGGGGAAAACAAAGAGAACAGCAAAAAATCAAATGGTGATGACTGCATTGTTATCAGTGATGCAGAATCTGATGTCAGTGAAAAGAAGGAAAATGTGGCAAAAAAAGAGGAGGAAATGGAAGTTGATGGTGGCAGTGAATCCCCCCCTGTTTTAGAAAGTGAAAAACCTTTATTAGGAAACAAAACACAGTCACAAAATCCCACGTGGGCATTCATAGACACTTCTGAGCACCTTGAAGCTCTGATAGCATGTTTGAACACAAGAGGTTTCAGGGAATGTGCCCTCAGGTCAGCCTTGCAAGAGCTGCGGTCCATTCTGGATCACTCTCTAAAAGATTGTCCCACTGATATGCTGAGCTTACCAGAAGATGGAGGAGAGGAGAAGGCAAGAATACAAGTGAGTAAAATTTCTCCCTGTTTGTTGCACTTTTAGTTGATGGTTAAACATTTTTGTTAAGTTAATATCATTTTAAATATTGGTAGTTGTAGTAGATGATTTTTGATTTCATGTTTTACTTGTTTCCTTACAGGCACTTGCTATGACTCGGGGGATATCTAGCAAAAAGGCAGCTCAGGACGCTCTGATACTTGACAAAGCAGAAGTAACAATGGAGCTCAATCTCCGAGATGCTATATTGGATATGGAAGATAGGATACATGTTGGAGCTCTTGGTACTCTGAAGGTAGGTTGTAATTTAAGGCCTCTGATGACTGAATAGTTTAAATACCTACTTGTACAACCTGTAATTCTAATAATTTCGTAAGGCCACAGAATGTGGGATGTAGTGCAATTACTTGCATTGATTTATTTTAGATAGAGAATCTACTTATCCAATATTGTAGTATTCTATTATCAGACCTGTTTACTCTTACGATTTTGGCGTACAATGTACGATTTTGAGGTGTAAACATTATATATAATGTATGTTTATTTTTTACTATAAATCTAAGGTATTGAACGATTTTGTGATGACATTGTACGATTTTAAGAGTTTGAGGGTTAACAGGTCTGTATTATTACATTTATTTTGCTACAGCTCTTTTCATCCGGCTGCCCCTGATTAAGATAAATATCAAAACATTTACCATTAACATCTTTTTTGCATGCATACACAGGTGAGAAATAGATCAGCATGGAGAGATGCAATTTTACATCGCCACTATGACTGCCAGTCAGATGACCCACTTTTCATGCCCCCTGTTAAACCACACATAAATGGGTAAGGAGTTGGTCATGTTTTTTTTTAATTGCCACATATTTTTAAAGAGAAATAAAAAAAAGTATTTATATTTAAGCCTAATTTAAAAAAAATTATGCTTAAACATCTTTTTGTTAGATTAAATGTGTAGAAAGTAGCTGTAAAGTACATTTTGGATAGAAAATAAAATGATACTATAATGTGGAAAAACAGTGTTTTTGGTAAGAAAAAGTTGCAATTCTAAATAAATATTTAAAAATTCTGGAATGTTTATAAATGATCTTTATGTTCTTATTTCCTTATTTAGAGGACATGATGTTGGAGGGGAAATTTCGGATGTTGACTTTGTGGCAAGGGATCTTGCTAAGGCTCTTGTACAGATTGCCAGGGGGGTCGAGCCAAGGTTTATGAAAGATCCACTGAGTAAGTTCACCATTTATAAATACAAATTAAAACATCATTTTTAGAATTTTAAAATAAAAATAAATCCAATTTTTTATATGAAATACTCTTTTTATGTTAAGCATTATGTTAAATTTTTGTAAATGCCCAAAGCTGTAAACTAAATTGTCGGTTATGTTTTCAGAGGAGGATGACTCTAAGAAAAAGAAGCCATCATCTAAAGATAAAAAGAAAAAGGAAGATGGCGAAAACTCAGATGGTTTGTTCACTAGTTGCTTCGTTGCATAAATTAAAATGTTATCAACCTTAAATGTAATGAATTTAATGAAATCGCTATATACATGGATTTAATGAAATCGCTACATACATGAACCTATTCAGGATATCTTGTGAATTTTATTGATATACAAATAACATTTAATAAATGTTGCTTGGAATATTGCTGTTTCAATACCAACTTTTTGTTCCAACAGAGGAGAACTCAGGGTCCAAAGTCAGCAGAAGTTTGTATGAGCGCTGGGAGGAGTCACTCCTATCTGCTACAAGCTTATCTCAGGTTTATCTACATCTAGCTACGTTGGACAAAAGCATCATTTGGGCAAAATCCACACTGGAAACAAGGTGTAAACTTTGTAGAAGGAAAGGGGACCCTGAAAAAATGTTACTTTGTGACGGCTGTGATAGAGGTCATCATATGTATTGCTTGAAACCTCCAATGGAAGTAAGAATACTCAATTGTGAATTGGTAGACTTTAGATAATCTTAGAATATCTACTTATTCCATATTGTAAAATTCTATATAATTGTAATTCAAATTTTATATGAATTAGTGATATCTCATTTACCTGTACATTTAATTAAAATTTAATTGGGTCTTGCTGAATGTTGTTTTGTTGCTGTTATAGACAGTTCCTGTTGGTGATTGGTTTTGTTCTGAATGTCGTCCAAAACAAGCACCTAGAAGTCCAATTAGGAAAGGCAGGAGGAAAACTTTCATGGAGTCAGAGCAGGAAGAATCACCAGATGAGGCAGAAGAAGATGAATAGTAAGGAAGGTTTTTTAACTAATCTTGTAAGCTGTTATGTAAAAATTGTTACCAATTAAATTGCATCAAGGACATAAAGCAGCATAATAATAATGTATCTATGAGTTGATGGGTTTGTGTGCCATGGAAAATTCTCTTCAGGTGTTAATTATTAGGGTCATCATGGACTAATTAAACAAAGTGGGAAAGAAATGACATTTCCTTTGATCTGTTTGTTCTAAGTTACATATAAAGTTTCAATGCTCATTGATGTAATGAAGCTAAATTTACTTCATTATATGTTCATGCATGATAAATTCCCATTATCATTTTGCTCAGTGAGGAGGAAGCAGATGTTACAGGTCAAGATGATGATGATGAAGAAGAACTTGATGATAATGATGAATCACAAGACAGTGATGATAGACAGTTTGATGAGGAGGATGAAGTTGATGATGAGTTAAAAGAGAACCCAGATGAGGATTTCTGTGTGGGATGCAAAACTCCAGGAATGCTGATTTGTTGTGATTGTTGTCCAAGAGCATATCACCTTCACTGTGCCAAGCCTCCCTTGAAAAAGGTAAACATCACAGACATAAAACATTTATTTGTTTCTTTGCATTGATGCACATGCTAAATGTGTTAAGTTGCCCGAGTCCTGCTGTTAAGTTATAAGATGCCTTATTCTTTCATTTTAAATTAAATTTTCTGGTTCAGGTTCCAAAAGGCAAATGGATGTGTCAAGTTTGTATGGGCATTGACAGAACTGGTAAAATCAAGATTGGGGGTGGTGGCAGAGGTGGAAAAATCAAAGGAAAGGGCAAAAGCACAGAAAAACTCAAAGGTATTGAAATATGGATAATTCCTATTTTTAAAAGCCATATATTAACTGAAAGGTGAATGGTTTGTTCATCAACATTGATCTGGTTTATTTCTTCTTATTAAAGATATAGTTGATAAAATGGACATTGTGTAGTCATGTTCACCTGTTTTATATAGGTAAAGAAAGAAGATCTGGCAGCAGTGGCAAGTATACACCCAATGACAACCGTCTCTTCTCAAAAAAGGAAACTCCCAGAGCAAGTCCTGTATTAGGAAGACCAAGAAAACACCCTATATCTTTGTTGGGTAAAGAAACAACTAAGCAGGCAAAAACAAAGAAAGTAAAATCACTTTCTAGGTTCTCATTAGATTCTTTAGATGGTAAGTAATAGTCATTGTTCAAGTGAAGAGATGTGTTTGATCAGTTTGCTAATTTGAATAAAATTGGAGCTTTTTTGTCCTGAAAGGATTTAAAAATACATAAAAGGCTCTACAAGATATGTAAATGTTGATATGTATAGATGTAATCACACATTTATATTTATTTAGTGATCTCAAAGTGACATACACTTAAAGCGGGAAGTTTTGACTTCTTCCTAGTGCTTGGCCACAAATTTCTCTAGGGCTTTTTTTAAGCTTACAGAAGATGTGAGACTGCTATATCTTGGTTGCCTTGATTTTTTTATTCAATTTTTTTGGGCGCTACTTAACTTTTTTAACATCTAAAAAACGGTTGTTTAATTAATTTGTTAATACATTTTTTCTTAAGATTTCTTATGTTTTAAGTAACTTATTTGATTCTATTTGGATCAATGCAGATGAAAATCCCATGATCCGTTTAATGAAACCAATCATGCCAAGTTCAAAGAGAGCAAACAATCAGCAGCAGCAACTGAGAACAGCTGAGGAACTCATTAATGAACTGATCAAGCATGAAGATGCCTGGCCCTTCTTGAAACCTGTAGATAAAAAACTGGTAAGTTGAGCTGTAAAATAGTAAGTGACTTTGAAGGCTTGACGTGTGTGCATTTAGTTAATTTGTCAACATTTAGCTTCATGACATTTTAAAAAATATAGGAGAATGTTTTGTACAAATAAATGTAGCTTCTTGAAGCATCACTGAGTTATTGAAAATGAACGTTCGGTTTCTTCCAGGTGCCAGATTATTACAATGTTATCAAAAGACCCATGGATTTTGGAACCATCAGGAATAAAATTCATGCTTTTACATACCAGAAACCATCAGAAATGCTTGATGATGTGAGACTCATTTTTAACAACTGTATTGAATATAACAACAGGACCAGCCCTGAGTATAAAGCATATTTTCGTCTTTGTAAATATTTTGACAAAAGGGTCAAAGAACTGTCACTTCTTGAAGATGTGCCCACGCCTGTTAAAAATAATCGTGGCCGTGTATCTGTTTGACCTTAAACAATCTATAGTTTTTCACTTTGGGAGCTATGGATCAACTATAAATTTAATGTGCTGCATACCATGAAGAACTCTTCATTTTAATTGCTGCCGATGCTGAACCGAGATGTTTCTTCAAATAGAACGGTGACATACAAAAGTACAGATTGCAGGGAGACAAATTTATCGATTGTTAATATTTTAGTTTCTTTCTTCTTTCAACACAAGAAGAGTTTTTTCTTCTATTCTTTCTCTTAACTATTTACATCTACTGATAATCTGTTACAATGTCACTTTGAAAAATAATACTTTTGAACTAAAGACCATGTCATAATTCGTATACTGCAATATTGTTACTAGACCAGCCTTAGTGACTTTTGGATAAATTTGTGTTATCTTAATCGGTGATTCTACTGAAAGAGATTGTAGAATTAATTTATGTACATTTATTTGAGCTTATGTTCACTAAACCTTTATGAAAGTTGTTGGTGTAATGTATTACTGCTTATTTATGAAATGAATAAGAGGTAAATAATTTAATTACAATATGTTTATTATCACCATTAAACTTATTTTAAAAAAAACTTTGTCATAGTAAATACAATATGGATAAACTTTTTAATTTTTTAAAAATAGATTTTGTAATTTAGTACCCCTTGCAGGGGCTGCTTAAAATTAGCCAAAATTGAAATTAAAGGGCGAGGGGCTTTGAATGATCATTAAATATCGGATTGACGAGTCATAAAATAAATATTCACATAATCAGAAAAATTTCAAACTTGTAATTGAAAAAAAATTCAATATATCACCAATATTAAGGATATGTAACAGAAATTTGACTTAAATTTCATTTCGCCGCTTGAAAATTATCAGTTCAATTACCCTTGTTAGTAAAAATTGCTCTCCTGATAAATAAATTCTATCATTAACCTTTTTTAAAAAAAAAAAATTGTCATTAAGGAATTAGCAATCCAGTCAATTTTCCGGGAGTTGCGGATTTTTAGATATCAGATCAGTTGTGAAAAACTAAAACTCAAAGAATATTCACGTTTAGTAATGGTTTTTTATGAAGCACAAGAATAATTCACCTTTTTATATAGCAGCACAAAAAAAAAGATGGTTTATGGTATGGTATTTATTTTATATTCGCAGAACCTTTTAGACACTTTTGTAAGGAAAAATTATTAAATATTTATATATAAATGTGTATATGATGGGTTTTGTGGCCTTTCTCTTTTTGATACAGAAATTTCTTGTTCTAAATCTGGAAATTTAATTATAGTGGACTTTGCTGCATACATTCCTCACATGGGCTTTACATTAACTCATGCCATATTGTAGAATGCATTTTTCAATCTTATTTAATACTTAATCTATTGCAAGATATATCAGAATGGGAATGACACCATTAAGAAATAATGTTCTGTAGTGAAGCAATTATGGCATCTTTTTAAATGATGGACTTGAAGACCATCTGCTACTTGTTATGACTATAAAATTAAGTTCACAAAATTATATCTTAAATAGAATTATATTGTGGATTAAATGGGAAGCAATTTTATTTTAAATTAAAAACATTTGGGACTTATAATATTCTGTATTATTATTATTCAATATTTTCTTAGAATGAAGTTTTAAGGAGATTTTTTGAGATTGAGTTGAAAGCAGCTGTTGCATGAATACATATTCTTTTAAGTTTAAGTATTCTTTTATGCCTTCGAGAATGTTATTAATTGCTAAGTGATGATGCAGAGAGCAACTATTACTAAATTTTGTTAAATAAATTAAAATGAATTTTACTTTAAAAACTGAATTGAAAGTGAGAATATGATGAAAGGTGAGATGTAGTGTTTGTGCTTTCACTTTTAATAGTTGTTTACATTAAAATTAAAGAAAACCATTGAAGAATTCTAGGCTTCAACTTAAATTCTTGGCTTCATTTTAACTGTTTATGTGGCCGTGATATTGAAATTGTGCATGCTGGCACTTTATACATAATCATAATATTAAATATTATGCTGGCACCGGTTTTTTCATTATGCTGACACCTCATTGATCATATTATGTCATGTTTTTTAAATGAAATAAAATTAGGGTTGCTACACATTTTGCTGTTACTTGGTGCATGCTGAAAGAGAAGTTTGTTTTAGAATATACATTTTCTTGTCATTTCTTTTAGGTACATTCAAGAGAACCACCTATAATAACTTTTCATAAGACTTGTTATTTATGTGTTTTATTTCTAGAACATGTATAAGAAGAAGGGTTCAATTCAGCAACTCATAAAAGACATCATGGGTCACTTGCTATTAATCTTCATTGAGTAAGCAAGCCTTCTATGACTGGGAAGCTTGTGTGACTGAGAATTATTCATAACCTGTTATCAGAAAATGCTTTTTATTTTAAAAAAGCATACAATGTAAATACATTTCAATATTATTAAAAAAGAAAAGAAAAAAAAGAAAGCTTAATTCCAAAAATCATTTTTGTTTTTATGTAATAGAGGAATTTATTTAAAAAAAACAAAAAATTAACATTCACATTCTTATACATTTGTAAGGAAACAATGTTAAATTTGTGAATAAGTTTTTTTATACAAAATGGATATACAAGTAGAGTCAACAAATTTAAATAATGCATGACACTTATAGGGACATTACATATTTAACACAGAAGGATCTTTTGGATGATATACCAAAATAACAAAGAAAACAAAACCATTTTATCTATAATTTATTAGTTTATCAATGAAACAGTTCCATAAGCACCGGATGATTTAATTATAAATGAAGAAATAACATCTGTGAACATTAAATAAAGTGGTTTGTCTTTTTTTTTTTTTTGAAATATAAGATTTTGAATGAAAGGCTATGGCAAGATTTTTTCTTCAAAAAAAATTATTTACAGCATTTTTAATGTAACAATTATTTTACTTCTCTGACAGTCACAAATCAAAACAATTCTGTCGCAATGACAGTTTTTGCGTATCCATTTTTAAGATTTCATCACTGATGGTAAGAGATACATGTGGGAGGAACACCTCCTTTATGTTCCTGCTATAATAGGATTTCAGATGTTTTTGCATAAAGCAAATAAACAAATCGTGAAACACCAGAAACATCTACTCTCTTTTTGATTTGTCAAGTATTCTCAGGGCAATAAAAAAAATAATGCTAATCTTTATAAGATATATATATATATATATATATATAGCTGAAACACTAAATGTCCTACATTTACCACAAAATTAAAAATGTTTAAGAAGAAAACATGTTTTGCAATAGAGTAAGAGAATATACTTTAAAAAAAAAACTTTTACAGACCAGACCTACTGTTCAAATAGATGACATTTCATGTCATTGGGATTTTACACATAAGGACTGATTAATTAACCTCCAAACATATGATTACTACCCTTTCATAGTGTACATGTCATTTATAGTTAAGAAACAATAATGTTAAGTCTTCTTCAGGAGAAATCAGTTAATCCTAAAATTCTCATGGCGTTATAAAACTGTCACCTTTGAAAAGTAACTGAACGTTATAATAAAAAAACTCAAGGCAGTGTAAATGCATAATGTGAAAACCTTTTAAAAATGATTTCTTATAACTCAATGTCAATAACATTTGCATTTGACCATGTGAACATACTAAAATAATAGGATTTTTGCTCTTGGAAACATATGTATCAAGCAAATCCTTGAATAGCATTCACATTATGTAAAACTATGTTTAGAGATGAAAGTTAAATTAAGCATAAAATAATTGAATTTCACAATAAATCGGCAACCCTAGGATTTTCCCCTCAATATTTTGCTTCTTTAACTTTTAAGTGTGGCATTTTAAAATGACAATCCCCCCAAAGCTTGATGCATATTTTACATATAAAAATGCGATGAGGACTAAAGATAGATACGTCTAACAGGATTGAATGATCATTTCAGTGATAGAAAACAAGCAAGAAAGTGGACCATAAATAAATAATCAGACAAAATTTTAGGGGAAAAAAACTTCATTTACAAGTGAGAAACTACTTTGGAATGTAACCTTTGACTTGTCAATTAGCATTTAATTTTCAATAGAATTGTACCCTCAGAAATTATAAAAATTGTGAAAGAATAAAAGAAAGAACTTACCAGACAAGAATACTTTTTGTACAATAATGTCAAAAGATTTAAATGATTTGATTTCAAATTATTGTTTATTCTTAAAATTGATAAAGAGTATTATTCCTGACTTAATTGAATTAATGGAATTAAAATTGTGTACCTGCATGAGTAACAAATGCTCTGATAATATTAAAACTTTAACAGTTTCCTCATACCTGTTATAAAAAAATCCCTCCCATTTTTTTTTATAAATAGTTGGGTGAAAAGAAATAACAGTTGTCACTGGCAGATACTCTGCACAAGAAAAGGAGAGAAGCTATTTTAAATATTTCACCCCATATTGTAATGTCTGAGGCCAATAGCAGTTCCATAAACATTTAAATAAAAAATGGTAATGCCTGTAGTTATTGTCACTTGAAAACAAGTATCAAAAAATGTTCCAGTCCAAAGGGGTAGGTAAAATTACCTTGACAAGCGAAGGAAAAGGTTTCCTTAATCCATCAAATGAGACTCATCTTGTTCCAAATGCACACAACTCATACATCATTTAAACATTCTTATTTACAAGCAGAGAAATATATATCATTACTGTTATTGCACTTGCTGAATGTCAAAAAATATAATTTTTATTAGTCCTTTACGTCCTACATTAAATGGGGACTAGATTTTTAGACAGTAAAGTGTCTTTGTGTTAATTTTGGGAAAACATCCAATCCATCAAAAAAAATCTAAAATAACTGCATTATATTAGCCTTGAAATTAATAATAAAATTCTTCGAGTGATTAAGCTAAAACCCGATACAAATACATTTTTGTGATCAGTCTATTCTCATTTTAAAATTAAATCAATTCTAAAAACAAAAGCCACTGCTCAACATTACCCTCATTTCTTCCCATAATAAGATGTAAACCAGCCAGTCAGGCTTCCCACTGCTTTATTAGCTGCGTTATACAAGGCACCCGCGGTAGATGTGTTGTTGTCTGCAGGAGATGACAGGCCCATGCTGGATGCGTCAAATGTTGGCAGGCTGGTGGGCACACGTTCCCAATCACGAGTCAGATCCATATCTGCTGCTGCTGGGTCAACATCTCCCTCACTCTCATATTCCAATGGGCATAGGTCGACTTCAACAGGGAGGTTGTAGCTTGGAACAAATGCATTGTTCCTTATAGTATAGAGATAAAAGATATAAATTACATGAAAGTTAGAGTGAGAAGTGTTTGATTTAAAAATTAGTAACATAAAAAGGTATTTTAAAATAACTTGTCATGAAAATCTGCTCAAACATTTATAAAAGGAATATATTTTTCAAATGGGCATTAGTTTTTTTGAAAACACTTAACATGAATACTTGGGTGGGGGGGCCCAAAAACTTGCAGAAAATATTTTAAAACTGAACATACCTCCCTAAGGTGGGGCACCGGAGAATTGCAAGGACATTGTGGAGAGATAAGTTGTCCAGAAGCATATCAGGATCCACATTTTGGCTATAAGCAAGGTGAAGGATATTCTGATGCAGACGCCATACATAATTACAGAAATCCTGCTCACTTAAATCATCTTTTATTTCTCTAGAAAAAATATGATTATAGAAATGGCAATTATAGGCAAAAAATCAGCAAAACCACCCAATTAAAACAATGAAATTAAAGGTTACTCTAACAATTCAATAGTTAAAAAATAAATGATGCCTTGTTTTGTCTGTAGCCATCATAATAAGCAAAAAGGATTATGTATGAGGGACTGCATTCAAGCCATGTAAAGAGAATAAATATTGGAACAAGATATGTTTAGGATTGAAAAGAAAAGACAAACATTTAATTGTCTTGTCTATCCTAAACATACCTTGTTCCACAATTTATTTACTTTATAAGCAAGCATTTGCAACAGAGTTGTGACCAAACTTTAAAAAAAAAGGTTATATTTTTCACCAGCTATGGCGGAATATTCATAGTAGGGCATTAAAAATATTTTAATAACCAACACATTCACTTGCACCTTTTAATTTTTAACAAAAAAAAAAAACCCAACATAAATTCCCCAGAAAACAGGAAAAACTACATCACCTGATTTAATGGCATCAATGATATTTCAACCAAATTATGCAACAAAGTTAGAAATCAGTACTCACTTTAAGGAACACAGCCGAGGTAAATGAACATCTAATACATGGGACGCCAGCGTGACAAACATAGTTGTGTACATAAGCGCAGAATGAACACCGTAACTTGGGTTTCCAACTGGAATTTTTTCTGGGTTTTCTGAAGCATGTCTGCTGGACATTACTAAAAAGAAATAAAAATGAGATTGTATTTGACATTGAAAGTTGTGTATACATATTTTACATATATGCATATTATATATCTATATATTTTATATACATATTTTATATACATATTATATGTATATTATATATATACATATTATATGTATATATATATATACATATTTCTCTCTCTCTATATATATATATAATATATATAATACATATATATATTTATACATATATAATACATATATATATATATATATATAGAAAGAGAGAGAGAGAGAAATATGTATATATAATATTATATATATATATATTATGTGGCATAAAGTTTAAGATTTATTTTTTATGCAGTAGCTGATAAACCCCCTTGTCAAATAAAGTGTATTATTGACATTATTTAGCTTTGCGTTCCAGCATCAAAAGCTAAACACAAGCAACATAAAAGAAGATGGAGGACTGGCAAATAAAAAAAAAATTAATGTTGCTACAGATAAATCCAAGTTGATTCAATCAGCTTGGATAAATTAGATAATGTAGATTGTTTAAATCTTAAATCCTGTGTTCTTAAGCAGTTACAGAATGATCAAAGCTTTACCAAATAAGCTAATAGCAGATAATGAACCACTATAGTCAGCAAGAGTTGACCCAACAATTGTGCAGTGATTCTCTCCTCTGTGGTCACCATGAACCCACCGGCCACCAATAAATGCTGTCTCACAAGCATCTTTAAGGGCAGTAGCCATGCTCATCTCAAGGTTGTCAGAGTCTCTGTGGTGAAATACAAATGGTTCATTTAAAGTTACAGTATCATAACATAAGCCATAACAAATAAGACCCTTCCCTCTTAGATGAATAGTGAACTTGAGTCTAATGTGATAAATTGTACAAATTCTATAGAAAAAAAAAATCATCAAATCACTGCATATTTTCATTACTGCATTTTTATACATTTGTGACACAATAAATTTAAAAGCTAAATTAATTAAACAAAGCTGTCGCAAAATGTATGTATAAAATATACAATAAATTATTTCATTGACCCCATACACCATAAACTTCATATCACAATGAACTTTTCATATTTCAAATGGGGTGATTTAGGAAAGATAATCAAGAAAAGATGTGAAATAAAATTTTAAGAAATTTAAAATAAAACATGGTTAAAAAAATGATTTTGGGAGTATTAGATTTGAAGACTAATGTAATCACCCCAAGGCAAAGACTTCTTCAATAGGAAAAATCCTGTGTTGTAATGTCTCCAAAAAGTGTGATCGCCTGTATGCAAGATATTGATGGTACAGATCAAGCTCTGTCATCAGAACTGGTACAGACTTATGATATACATTTGTCCCTTCCTTGGATTCTTTGACCTCTTGCTGTTGCCCATGTAGAGTTCTGCTGGCCAATTGGATGAGTTGTTTCACATCACAGTCTTTGTTAAAATCTACTTCACACAGGTCTCGTAGAGATGGGAGTCTCTGTGAGGGGAGCTCAGAGAGAGCCTTAACTCTGGCACTCAAACCTTTAAGGCATACTGTCTGACTGTGATATAAGCGATTCTGTGAATCTCTTCTTTTCCTCTTGTTTTGTTTCAGTTCTAAACTGTCTGTGGTTTATAAAATAAAACTTGAAAATTGACAGAAAATATTGAACTAATTTAAATTATATGAAATATTTTTCTTTAACATATTTGATAATTATTAAAACATGCAAGAAAGATAAATATAAAAATCTATCAAACTAAATACTTTTATATACCTGAATTGCATTTTGCTTTTGTTTCTGTTATTGCCTTTTTCAGCAGAGTAATTTTGCGTTTTATTAATTCAATTTCAGTCCTCTGAAATATCATTGATACTTGATTGAAAAGAAAACTATAAAAATATATAAAACACTTATTTTACATAACAAGTAGAATAAATGGGATTTCATATTTCCCTCCTTTTTAACTTTAAACTTTGATTCTTACAATTATATAATCTTGCAATAATATTAAACATACCTTAGCATTTGCTCTCTCTATATCTTCAATCTCTAGCTCAAACCTACAAAAATGGATAAAAATGTGATAATTTGATACAACTGTAATTTCATTGCAAGATATTTTTAAAAAACCCAAATCCCCACTAAGAAGAAAGCAGGTAACTACAGTGGTCTATATATGCATGTAGAAGATCATTACAACATTCAAATTACACTATTTTAAATAATTATTTTGAAAAAGTAAATGAAACATAATCAAATATATGTTATGTTATTGACAGAATAATAATGCTGTACATTAAGCACTGATAATAATCATTCATGGAATTAACGCTACATAAAATAAATTTTATTCTCTTAGTACACTTGAAAATGTAGGAGCACTGCTGAACTCTAAACATTAAATTGTTCCCCCTGTTTGAATGAATTACAAAAATCGATAGGGGATAAAAGGTACACAAGAGAATAATAGAAAATCTGGTCAATTTATGCAATCCGCACCACTTTGAGTTTTTGTGTAGGATTCTCTGCCCTTTGTTAATTCATGTAGAGTCAACTTTTCTCTTTTTAGATTAATAAGCTGACGGAATATTTTTGATTGACAGTTTTTTTAAATTGATATTTTATAGGGTGGTTAATTAAGATATATATGTATAAAAAAAGGCTATTTTGCTGGGATTTTGGAAAATGTATTTTGATGATTTTGGAGTTTATTTTTGTTGGAACCTGCAATAAAGTGTGTAAAAGTGTAATTGGTGAAACTTTAAGTTGGATTTTCATATTTTTGAAAATTAAAAAAAATTTTTTTTTGCATATAGTAGCGCACGAACAAGTGGTTTTAGGGTACACATTAGATCATAGATTTTAGTCAGAGAGGGCTAAATTTACACTCAAGTTAGGGGGACTGACTTAGCATTCAGGGTAGGTAGAATTTTAGGTTTTTCTCATAAAATTATATATAATTAAATTTTAACATCTTTTTTTCTCCTAATTTTTTCTTTCTCTCTGTATGTAGTTTTAGCAGACATGTTTTTGCACAACTTTTTTTTCTTCATAGCTTTCACTTTTGCTACGGTGACATTTTTTGCCATCATGGTAATAAAGATGGCAGGCCTGGAAAAAACTGAGAAAGGAGTGGCGCTGATTGTGTGTAAATAAAAAAAAAATTGTTGTCATTTTTGCCTAGCGAAAACCACACTATCCTGTTTTGAAAATGACGGAGGCCACTGAGCCCACTATTACCTATTATATCTGCTGAATGTAAATTATCTCTATACAAAAAAAAAATGAAAAAAAAAAGTACACAACATAATTAAAAACATCAATAAATTAGTCATTAGTAAGAGATGAAAACTGGCCAATATTCTGTAAATGAATGTTAAGAAAATAACAGAGCACAGTGACAGGCAAATATGCTATACTATAACTATAGTATATTTTGATCTTAAGTCTTAAGTATTCGATTTATATATATAATATTATTTACCTACTTATACTATAGACTATAGGCCTAGTCAGGCCCAAGCTATAACTGTGACTGACTCAACGACAACTGGCTGAATGTAAGTAATGATAATATTATTAATATTATAAAATAGTAAGCAACCTAGACCTAATACTAAAATACTTATACTTTATTATACTAACAGTGACAGCCTATTCAGTGAGTATACTGACACTGTATACTATAACTATAAAGTTATAAAGTAAAAAGTAATAAATTAATAAAATAAAGAGTAATTTTTCATGAAAATAATTCGTTTTTTAGGCTAGGCCTACCTTCTGCATAATTGATCCCTTTCCCGTTTGGCTTCATTCCATTTTGCCTCCTTTTGTCTGAAGCTGGAAAATAAAATTTAATAAAAACAAGTTGAGTCCTTGACCTAAGACCTTCTGCGGTCAAAGCTACAAATATACGATGACATCAGTCAAAGAGTAGCTAAAAAAAGGAATTATTAATTTTACCTTGGACCATCGATTCTTTGTGTATGAGTAAACTCTCCTCCGTTTATACAAGTGTCACATAGAAGATATCCTCTATTTTCAAAACACAAGGGACACTTCTCAAAGGCTACTTTGACTATTTTACCCTCTTTAATGGCCTGCTGCAAGCGTATTTTGCGTTCGTATCGAGTCTGAGATACGCTGGCGGCCATAACAAATTTGTGTTTACAATGGTGAATTATGGGATAGCCATGTGATAGGTTAGAAACGTAAATAAAGGAAGAGGGGGGAAACTTAATTTTAGAACGATTTGTTACCTGGGGTTTTAAAAATAGAACTAGAAAATACAGAAAACAAATATAATAAAGTTTTTATAAATAAAACGTTTCTTGAGTAATTTCTCTAAAATGTCAATAGTTGACAATAGACGATTTCAGATATTTTCCCCAGTTTGGAGTTGCTTTTGTCTTTGAGTAGATATAATTTATCTCGTTTGGTCTTATTACTAGATTTTTAGATACACTTTCAGACTTTCACTTTCACTTAGTAAGTCAGCGTTAGTACTAATTATTAATATTATTAGTCTTGCCTCTTACTCCCTTGGCACTACTCACTGCACTACTACTACTACTAGTCTACTACTTCTGACTACTAGTGTACTAGTACTAGTACTAAGTAAAAGTGTTCGGCATAGTCTCTTGGAATGAAAACGTTAAAGATAAAGTCTTAATTCTTAATATAGTTAGTTCTTTAAAAATTGTATCTCTTAAAGTATCGAACTTCGAAATATAATGTAGATTGTAGAGCAACAAGCCCTTAAACTTAAAGAGTGCGATGGAAATTAATAGCAACGTTCATAGTCAAAGGCCTAGTGATGATAAGGTTTTGTCAATATTGCCTGCTCAACTGAGAGAAAGACTTATGCCTTTTCAAAAAGAAGGTGTGAATTTCGCTATAAATAAGCACGGCCGGTGAGTTTAATTAGTAGAGTTAAATTTAATCGAATCATAATGATTAGGAATTAAAATAAGACTTGACTATAGCTATGACTATTGACTATTGAGACTATTGTGCTAACCTGATTGCAGTCTCTCCATTACCCATATAAATAGTATACAGTACAGATACATTTCAGTATTTTGAGTATACAAATTAACTTAATTTTTAAGGAGCCATCCATAAATGTCACACAAATTTTTATAATCCCTTAACAGCACTTACTCAAACTCCCGTACACACATATCACGATATTAACCCCCCCCCCTTTTGCTCCAGCAACACATAAAGTTAGACCCGCTCAAATATATAATTTCAAAAAACCTATGCCTCACCCCCCCCCCTCCTCTCCTCCCACTACCGTCCTTTACAAACCCCTAAAAAAAAAATCACCCATTTCCAAGGTAATCGATTTACTGCACCTGTGTCAGAAACTTTTCCCTAGAAAAGTGGTTCTTAACCAGGGGTGAAAGTACCCCTTGGGCTTGGGGTGCGAAAGATCCAGAAAATTGTATCTGCTGCCTTTGCTAGTTGTTCCTGCCTTTACTTTAAAACAAAGTCAGTTTTTTTACATTCTGATTGATTAGTATCAGTAAATGTTTTTGCTGTTGAATTTTATTTGCGCATGACTTTTATGGTTGCGGGAAATGTTTTCAAATAGAGAGGGGATGCAGTGCTGCAAAAAGATTAAGAATCCCTGTCCTAGAACATTGATTAAGGTCTAGTATATAATTTCAAAAAAAGTTGACAAAAAAAAAAAAAAAAAAAAAAAGCTTTTACCATTGGATTTTTTTTCACCGCCAAATAGCTTGCAGCTAATTTTGTTATCCATTACCAGTGATATCAGTGAGGATGAGTTAAATGCCATGTCACTGTAGACACTGTAGTGCATATATTAAATAAAAAAATATTTTTTCCATATTACTCTTAGTAGGCGACATAATAGGCCTACCTACATAAAAATTATCCTATTAATATATATGTAATTGTTAAATTTAATCTGCCTATGTGTATTTTATCTCACTATAAAATATACATGTTAAGACTTAATTTTAATTCATATTTTAGTAAAAGTGACATACCAATTTTAAAACATGGGATTAGCAGGCCTATACTGAATAAAATAGATTAGTTGTCTTATTGATATTGTATAATAATAATAATGAAATAACAGGTTTGCCAATTGTTAACAATTTTTTAATTATACATTTTCAGATGTCTAATTGCAGATGAGGTAATAATAAGAAATGAGGAACGATTTAAAGATTAGTGTGTTGATAATTCTTGATTTTATAAATTATATATCTTGTATAGACTGCATTGCCAATATTTAATTTCTTAAATTGAAAAAGAATATTTACAGCAAAAATATTAAAATCGTAAGAAATAAGAAAAATATACATATAATTAATTGCATATCACTTGTGACAAATTAGAAAACGTCTTTGTGTTTTTTTTAACAGATGGGACTTGGCAAGACAATTCAAGCAATAGCAGTTGCATATTACTACAAAGCTGAGTGGCCATTGCTAATAATTGTACCAGCTTCACTCAAGTTTTGTTGGATTGAAGAGCTTGAAAAGTGGCTGCCTGATATTTTGCCTAATCAAATAAATCTTATTCACTGTGGAACTGATGCTAGGTAAATTTAGTTTTTTTTTGTAAATAAATACATTTGTAGCAGCTATTTAATGCTTTAAAAAAAATTAGTTTAGAAAATTGGATGGAATCTAATACCAAAAAATGGGTATTATTTATAAATTAAACAAAACAAAGAGGAAAAGCAAATAAGAAGAAAAATGTGATAAAATAGTTATGATTTAAAGAAATTGTGCACATTTGCAATTAATAAAAAAAAAAAGAAAAGATGTTTGATCTTCTAAAACCTTGTAATTTCAGTGGCATAGCAAACAGCTTAATTACTATTGTCTCCTATGGTCTTCTGAGACATCCATCCAGTAAAGTAATCAAGGAGGCAGTGGAGGCACAAAAGTTTAAGATAATCATCTGTGACGAGTCTCACTACCTTAAGAACAACAAAACATTATCATCAAAAACAATAATTCCTTTATTGAAAGCAGCCAACAGACGAATTTTATTATCAGGAACTCCAGCTCTGTCTAAGCCTGTTGAGGTTAGAATAATTTTTTTTTTTTAAAAGGCTGTTGTTTTAAAATATGGGCTAATCCCTGAAGTCAAAATGCTGAACACATACCACCCAAAAATCAAGGACACAGCACCGCCAAAACACAGTAGTTAAGCTAAAATATGATGTATAGTATGTTTTAAATCATCATCTTTAGTTTAGCAATTAGCAATCTTTGCCTCTTTTTTTTATTATGTCTGAATTGAGTTTTAAAAAAATTGAAAGAGTCTTCTCATAACAAACAGAAATATCAAATAAATATGAATGTAATTTTTTAGATCTCTATTCCTATAAATGTTTGGGGTACATCTCATTTTTGATTGCTGGAGATAATAAAGTTATATTTATGTGGGTTTAAATGCTCTCATTTCTGTTTGATCAGCTTTACCCTCAAATAGATGCCATTTGTCCAGGGAAGTTTGGGACATTTTGGCAGTTCACAGATAGATATTGTGATGCTCGGACTGTTTTCTTTGGAAAGTTTAGAAAACGACAATTTGAGTAAGTAATGGCCAATAAAATTCAACAAAAAATAATTTCTGGAAAAAGCAACAATTTCACAACAAGCTTAAAAATTGGATTTTTAAAAAACCTGTAAATTAGTTTATTTATGAACTTTATTGACCAGAATATGAAAAGAATAGTTATACATAATTGTTTTGTTTCCATCTCTTTTAATTTTCAGTGGTGCAAGCAACCTTGAAGAACTGCAACAAAAGTTGACCAGTATGTTGATGATAAGGAGGGAGAAAAGTCAAGTCTTAACAGAGCTGCCGCCTAAGCAGAGGCAGCGAGTCTTATTTGAACTGAAAGAATCAGTTCTAAAAAAGGTTAGGGAATAACATTATTCCAGTAAACTTAACAAATGTCTATTATGTACAACAAATTAGTATAAAAGAACATCTGTTAACTCTTGCTTACTGTGTGTGTATATATATATATATTGACTTTCAAAACTGGATTGGGAAGCCATAGTGCTCATAAATTGGCTTTGCTGTAATAAGTCTTAAAGCAATAATTAGTTCCAAAGCTCTTTCTGTTTGAACAAACGTGTGAGGGTTAGTATTACACCTTGTTTCAATTCCTTACTAGATGAATGAGATACACATATGATATTATTAAGTTAGAGGGAAGTGAGAAAGCAAACTTAATCAGTCTCTTTCAATGACAACCAACTTATCCATCATAAGATATGTTTTTTATTTCACTGCTCCTTTAATTATCAATGGAAAAAAAATTGCCCTATAAACTTGATTGAGATATCAAGGTAAAAAAATCCAAATCAACTCTATAGAGCAGTTTGATTTGGTTTTTTGGTAATTTTTAGTCAAGAAAATACTCTTCGTTGTTTCATAGTTCAGAATTCATTCTAAATTCTGACAAATCTCAATAGGAAAAGTAATATAAACTAAATATAAATTGTAATTTAGTCTTAGTTACAGCATTCATTTTCTTAACTTCAAATGTTGTCTTGTAGGAAATACTGGATAGTTTTGCAGAACTGAGGAAAAAAATCAGAAGGGGAGATAAAGAAGTCATGAAGATTTTGGAGACTGATGAATTACGCTCAACTGACGGGGAAATGCATGAGACGGAAAATGCTATTGAAAAAAAGGATGTTAATGTATTCAGGGAAATATCCAAACTCTACAAACTTAGTGGGGATGCCAAAGTAAGACTTTTTCGTTAAACTCTCCATCCGTCTGGGGTCTAAGAAAACTTGAAATGCTCCTTTAAATATTTAGTTTTTTTAAACTTATATTTTAAACTGTTATTGTGTACATCATCTAATGTGTGTCTGTGGATATGTTTAGCTTTTCATTTGACAAGTAGAAAAACGTACGATATGTTACACAAGTGTTGAATCATTTTCTTTTCATTCTGGTTTTCCTGGTTGCTATAACCATTTTTCTGGAAAATTGCAGCTTTTTGCTCAATACCATGTTTGTACCAAGATGTGGGACTAAATTACAGTCAGATTACGTTGTGTTATTTTGTGACTGTTCATGGCTTGTATTTTGTGGTGGGTATCTGCGAGTGTATTTACATTCTGAAGTCAATAATGTCTGTCTGGTGATTGGCGGATGTGAACAAATGATTAAATGTGTGTGTAAATTTTTGTGAGGATCAGAGAGTGTATTGAGATTGTTTTTTAGAACGCCATGTTAGGAAGAATGTTTTGAAATACCTTTTGTGAACAGCATCTTAAAAAGTAGAGTATTTTAGTGTGAATCATTTTGAAAAGTGTAGTTGATATTTCTTCAGTTTACTTCCTGTGAAGCCAGGCAAATTAAGAAAACCTGAATTAACTTTCAAAATGCCCTGTGTTAGATGATCATACGTCAACCAATTAGAGGCTAGAGAGTTGCATTGTTTCTGTTGCTGTTGAGTGAGGGACCCAACCCCCAAGACCACTTTGCTTATCACAGACTTTTGAAATAGAAATAGTATTTATCTGTTGAATTATTGTTGGCATCCATAGTGAGCCAGTTAATCTGACATTTATTTGGGTGCAGAGTGGCCATTTCATTTATCTGTGACTGGACTTTGTTTGAAATTATAAATGGGCTGTCTACACTATCAAGATACACAAAAATAAAGATGGGTGTTACAGAAAATAAGTTCATTTTCCATTGCTTTTTTTCTGAACAGATTGGACCTGTTAGAGAGTACATTGAGATGCTCTGTGACAATGAGGAGCTTAAGTTTTTGGTGTTTGCCTACCATCACGACATGATGAATGGAGTTCAGCAGACATTGTGGGAGAAGAAGGTTAAATTTGTCCGTATTGATGGAACCACAAAATCTTTGGACAGACAGGTTCTTGATTATATACAAACAAAACCATGTTCTCCATTTCTGTCAATGAGACGTGATAAATGCGTTTGATATTTTGATGTTAATCTTGTTTAAGGAAGTTCATATAAACATGACTGACAAAAATACAAAAGTAATGTTTTTGGCAAAGTAATATACATGGGTTTATTTCACTTACACTTTCAGGCTTATGTAACTCAGTTTCAGTCTGATCCTCAAACTCGTGTGGCCATATTGAGTATCCTTGCTGCTGGAGTGGTGAATGTCTTTTCATTATTTCTTTATAAAAAAAAAAATCTTTAATTTATTAATTCTTTGATTCTTTATTTTGGTTCCTTGTTGCATAAGAATTCGTGTCATATTTTATCTGAAATTGTAACTAATGACTAACAGAGTTGAAATGTTTAGAGGACAGGAATGTGCTAAAGTTATTGGTGTTTATCAATGCCGGCATTGATAACACGTAGTTAAAAAGCTTCTTTAAAATTTTAGCAGTGATCTCTAAAAAGTAATCGGATTGCAATGCCATTCTCTGCATCTACCATTTAAACTTAAAGACTTTTTAAAATGAATGAAATTGGATCGAAAGGCTTTCATGACCTGTTTATTCCAGGGTCTGACATTCACATCAGCGAAACTTGTTGTTTTTGCTGAGCTGTACTGGACACCAGGTGTGATGGTGCAGTGTGAAGACAGGGCACATCGTATTGGTCAGACCAGCAGTCTACCGGTTCACTATCTTGTTGCAAGAGGAACGATGGATGAGTGGGTGTGGTCAGCGGTGTGTAAAAAGGTAATGGAACTCCTTCAAAGGGATGCAGTCAGCAGTGTGTAAGAAGGCAGCAATGTAAAATGTAGTTTAAGTGCTATAATTATTAACACACAGTAAAAGTACTCCTTCATGTGGATGAATGATTGAGGTCAGCAGTGTGTAAGAAGATATAAAAATGTTTAAATACAATAATATTATCACACAGTAATAGACCTCCTTGATGTGAAACTGGTCACTTAAGTTTTACTTGTTCAGTTCAAGTCAAGTACTCATTCTTGAGACTTCGACGGATAACTCAGTTTTGTTCGCCTATCTTCTGACTGTTAGGGTAAATGTCTAGTCAAACCATAGATCAGTCAAATGTGCATCAAAATCGTCCATCATCACATATGATGTCAATGGTTTTCTAACCGTTTCCTTATTGAAAAAACAACGGATGATTTTATTGGCTTTTAGCAAAAATCTTGAATAAGCTCAATTATTTGTATCGAGAAACTGGAAGGCATGTTTAGTTTATTTTCTCCAGTATACCATGTTTGAAGTCATGAATTTATTGAGTAATTATGTCATAAAAACAAAACTTAAGACAAAAACAACTCATTGTAACCATTCTTATTATATGGTAATACAAGGAATTATTTTATTGCTGTCTTTTTTTTTTTTCATTTATCATTGTTGGAACTGATTGTAGCTGGAAATGACTATTGTGAACTGAATGTTGTTAGAAGTGAATGTTGTTGGAACTGAATATTGTTGGAAGTGAATGTTGTTCAAAGTGAATATTGTTGGAACTGAATGTTGTTGGAAGTGACTCGTTGGAACTGAACGTTGTTGGAAGTGAATATTGTTGGAAGTGAATGTTGTTGGAAGTGACTTGTTGGAACTGAATATTGTTGGAAGTGAATGTTGTTCAAAGTGAATATAGTTGGAACTGAATGTTGTTGGAAGTGACTTGTTGGAACTGAATGTTGTTGGAACTGAACGTTGTTGGAAGTGACTATTGTTGGAACTGAATGTTTTTGGAAGTGACTTTTGTGGAACTGAATGTTGTTGGAACTGAATGTTTTTGGAAGTGAATTTTGTTGGAACTGAATATTATTGGAACTGAATGTTGTTGGAAATGACTATTGTTGGAACTGAATATTTTTGGAAGTCATTGAGTACTGAGTATTTTTTATAGGTTTCTGTACTTTGGTCGTTAAAATTGTAGCTAGACAAATTCTGTTTTTTTTTAGACAATTGTTACAAGCACAGCTCTGACTGGACATTCCAAGAAACTTGACCACGAGGAAGGGGATAAGTATCAGATTGACCTACTATCTAACGCTGAAGTTTGGCAGCCAAAAGAAGATAACACCAATGTTGATGTTGCTGATTTAATGCAAAAACACAGGGTAGGATATAGAAAAGTTGCCATCTGAACTTGATCATTACTTCTCTACTCGGCTAAATTATTTTAATTGCATTTTGTATTTCCAAAGTTTTTTAAAGAAAATAACTAGCATGCGATAGCTGTTGAATGTTCTTTTTTGAATGAGTTTCATTTGTTTAAAATCTTTGCACATTCATTATCCATGACAGTAGAGTTAGTTTGATGCATAACATAATATATTTTCTCTTCATTGCTATATCCTTTTTGAAATTGTTACGAAGCTCATTCTTTAACAGCACCTGAAGCAAGCTCTAAAAATTTACCATTGTCCGAGAAGGAGAGATTTGAAAAGTATAAGATTTTTACATTTTTTTGTTCATATCCTTTATCCCAAAAAAGCAAAAGCTAACAAAACAAATTGAATAGTTCAAAATTATAAATAAATAAATTAAAATTAGTTTTCAAATCTTTTAATATTTTTATTGTTTTGTTGGATTCTCCCCAAATTAAATTTTGTTTTTGTATTTTTCTTTATTCTTAGCCAGCTGATCAGAGTTCAATTTTACAGTTTTTCACATCACAGAAAACTCCAGAACTGAAACCATGGAACAGGAAAAGAAAATTTATATCTGGCAAAATCAGTGATAATCTTCTATCACCTGAAAATAAACAGGACATGAGGCTTGTGCCAGAGAACAAAGTTCAAAAATCAAATAGAAATGACTATAAAATGTCAGCCTCAAAGAAGGTCAAGTTCACAGAAATTTTGATCAGCAGCGATGAAGAGAGTGAGTTTCAAACCCCTTCAATCAAAAGGAAGACAACAAATCTGCTTAACAAACTAAGATCCAAGACCTCAAGGGACACAGCTGCTCTGAACAAGCAAAGAATCGTTGAGGAAAAGAGATTGGAAGAACTAGATGGAGAAAACGGGATTAAAATTAAAGAAATATCTTTGTTAAAGAATCAAGAGGACCAGACTCTGTTCAAAATAAATGATTCCAGCACTTCCACTGTTGTAGATGATTCACCTGAGTCAGATATATCAACTTTTGTCAATAAAGATGTCCTGGACATGAAAGAAGTCAAAGAAACTCAAAGACATGGTCAAGCAGGATGTTTTAGGCAAAGAAGTGAAGTGGACAAAAATTCATTTAACGGTAATACTGTTTTTTCAACACCTGGAGGACAAAAGCTGAATAAGCACCCAGAAATTTCCAATGGTGACAATGTCGTGTCTGAGAGTTTAAAAAATGTTGATCAATGGTCCTGCAGCACGTGCACATTTCATAACCATTCAGAGATGTCCTTGTGTGAGATGTGTGACACACCCAAGGGAAAAAGTTCTCGCAAGAGAACGCATCCCAAGTCCACGCCTCAACAGACACTTGGCACTCCTAACAAAGATAAACAAACAGCATCCAGACCGTCTCATCCGTGTGATCTTGACTTATCACATGATAACAGTTTGTTGTTAGCTTGTGGTAAACCATCAGAAAACAAGGAGGGCCGGTCTGGTGATAGGTTAATGACACATGTAAAAAATCCATCAAAAACAAAGCGTAAACTGGAAATAAATGGCCCCAGTCAGTGCCATGTTACCAGGACATTGGACCAAGATGCACAAGTGAGATGTGAGTCACCAGATCTGTTTGATAATGATGAGACACCACTTGATCACAAGACAAAAGGCAAAAATGATCTCCCCTCAGACATCGAAGAAGTGATTAGCAGTGAGAGCGACATTGAAGATCTGTCTGCAATGCCTCAATACTGGGAGCAGCCTGTTGTTGACTGCTGCGGTCCAGTTCAGAGTTTAGGACAGGAGAAAGCTCCAACAGAAACAAAATTAGAAAACGTGGATACTCTGGGTAAATCTTGGGATGTAAATAAACCTGAGGTAGGACCTGAGGATCACAGACTGTCAGCCGAACAACTGCAAGAATCTATGAAATTATTGGCACAAACCTTGTCACTATTGATACCAGAGTCTGCAGTGACAGAGGATGTTGTCAATGTCTCCATGACAAGGACAGACCATGCCGTAGGAGGGACACCACCTTGTACACAGAAAGACATGAGTGTTCATAAAGTCTTCCAGTTCAGCTGCAGTTCTTACACTGGTAGAATATATCTATATGATCAGGTATTTTGTAGAGATTTCTAAATAATCAGGTATTTGTAGAGTAGATATCAATAAAAATCAGGTATGTGTGGAGTATATATCTATATAAACAGATACTCATAGAGTATATATGTAGATATGATCAAACAATGGTAGAATATATATTTTTATGATTAGGTGATTGCAGAAGATATCTATATGATAAGACTCTTTTTATAACTAAAATTATTTACTCTGCAGACCTTTCTTTAAAATCATTTCATCTTCAGATTGTGTTGCTCAATGAGCTTGTTATTTCTCTCCTTATCAAAAGTAAGTTCTATGATTTTGTGTATTTTATTTTGCCTAGGACGGCAAGTCTCTGGATATCAACTTCCACCCCATTGATCTAGAAGTGGGGAATTTCTCAGAGCTACCAGATCTACTGCGTATGCCACAACACCAAAAGTTGCTGCAAAAATTTCTAAAGGAATGGTCAAGGTCAGTGTAGAAAAACTTTCCTTTTGAAACAGCCGTTTTCAACTGTGTCTTGGGATGGTCTCAAAATTATTATATAAAGGGTAAAAGCAAAATAAAGATATTTTTGGGCTTTTAGGGTTATTCAAGTCATTTATTACATGACACCGTTCCCGGTCTCCGGTTGACTTGTCTGTGGTGGCTTGTCGATTAGGAGGCGTCGGCAACCAACCCCCTGGACGTTACCCGGGAAACACGACCACTGGGCAGACAAGGGATGTGCTCGGTACATGCCGTACATAAACAGCTCCTACAGGGCTGCCAGTTGTGATGTTTCTCAACTGGAACAATAGGCAGTGACAGGGTAGGGATCATGATTACAAGTTGCCGTTAATGGATATGAGGCGAGAGGCGAAGGTGGTAACCTCTGGCCGATGATTCTTACTACGCAGCCCTGAGAAGCTGCTCCAAGGCAACCGTTTCGTCCCAGCTGCATCGCGAATTAGTTGCGTTGTGGAAACCCACTGTAGAATCCCTCTTATAGGGCGTCTAACGCTTCCCCGGGATGGGTGGGGGAAGATATTAGGATGTAAAATTTTCCATCCCGACTCCTGAGAAAGTCGATCGTGTGCACTGTGCGAAATAACATAGTGTCAGACCGACCGGGTGTCTTTGGGTTAGGGCGGCCCCCGGCGGAAACCTGGTCGAGCAGACTCATGTGGGGGCCGTCCTGACAAAGGGACATCCCCGACGTGCCACTCAGCGGCCCGATACCGGGTTGGGGAGGGGTGTTTTGTGGAGGGCATAAAGAACGCAAGCTCGACGGCCCGCTGACGCCATTTCTTAATGTAATATATTACATGACACAATGATGGGGGTATTCAAGACCAAATGGCACATATACACAGCTAATTTAACCCTCTAGGGACAACTGCCAGGCCCAGGGTTGAATGGTGAAAAAGACCGGCAGACAATTCATGCCTCGAAATTGGCTGGCTGGTCTTTGAAACAGCTAATAAGATTACTTCTACCATATCTTGCTAATTTTGTCATTATAATGGTGGCTTCCATTGTATTTGTTCTGTCATTTTATGTCAAATTTTTTTGGTACCCAGTGACCCCTAAAATTTAAAAAAAAATGTGACCTTTAAATGTTAAAATGCATGATCAGCTCCAAGGGAATATTTATGTAGTTTCCCACACTGCATCTCATTCAAATAAAGATTAGGACTTATATAGGTTTCAATAATCATAAAAATTAAAACAAATTATGCAAGTGTTTATTATAAGTGAACAAAAGAAATTGAAAGCATAAATTATGCAAATCTGGATTTCTCATGTGCAAAAATGATGAGATTTTATTTTTATTCATAAAGATCTAATTTATTTGAAGCAAAAATGTATAGTTTTATATTTGTGCAAAATGATTGACGAGCATGTAAAAAAGGGCTCCATTTGCTTGGCTCCGACATTCCAAAAACGCTCCGCCTCAAAAGGTTTAATAATAACTTTCTAATAAACTCTCCCTCGCTTGAAAAGCCAATAATTTTGAAAAATCCTTTGTAGAAGAATTTCAGTAATTAGTTTTAGTGTGACCCATGAAGAGCCATAATCATGTTGGATAATAAAGTTGAACAGCAACGATAATCAATTATAATAGCATACCCAACATAAGTATTTAAAGGGCAAATTAAATAATGAATTAATAATATATTATCATTACAGAAGTTATGCTGTGGGGTTTAGCTTATATGAGAAGCACACAGTTTTGAAAAGTACACAGTTTTGGACTCCAAATCTATGTTCTCAATTATCACGAACTTGTTTTAGGCATGGAGACCCTGATGTACTTGAATGAGTTAACCTACCATTCTAGATACTTGGCTATACAATTATAAGGCTGCACAACTAGATCTATGTAGAGAAAAAAAAATAATTTTAGGATTGTGCAAGTGCGCGCACAGGGTCTATGTAAGGCTCACCGCATGGCACTATGTTTAACTCAAGCACTATAAAATATAATTGTTAGTTGGATACTGGTGTACACGCTAAGTTTATTTCGGGCTATCTCTATTTTAAAATTAGCGCATTTCAGCATGTGTAACCAGAACAATATCATTATAGCTGTCAGTTGTGAACACGCTTACGCGTGGGTCTATAAAAGACATTGCGCACGGCTGTATGTCTTACTACAGAGATATCATTGTTAAGGGGTACATTCAATGAGCTAGACAAGTGATTAAATTAAAACACAACTTAGCAATGATCAGTAATGAACGGGAATCGCCCATTACCACAACATACTAAAATGTAGTCTACAAAATAAGGATATAAATGTGTTCTACTTACGATGCGGGCAGATGGACCAGTGAAAGGACTAAGGACTACTGTTGCTTGATCATCTCTATCAATGGTCACTCGCTGTGCATGAGTGGCCAAACAAGATGTTAGGCCCCAGCACACAACTCTGTGCTACTTTTAAATTGGATGGGTATTTATGTGTTACAGCACAGCCTGGGGTCTAGCCACAGCTATCAAAGTGATACTCAGAACATGTTATCTTATTACAGCACAGCCTGGGGTCTAGCCACAGCTATCAAAGTGATACTCAGAACATGTTACCTTATTACTATTACGTGGCACCTTGGCCCACTTTTTGAATATGAAAGAGAAAAAAATTTAAATAAAAATAATATCTAATAATTTGTATGAGACATGAAATTTATTTCAAGGATTCTGCAATTGTAAAATTTTGAGTCTTGTCTCTCCACATGAGGCTGGCAGTTATTCTTAGCCATCCAGTGGGATTCATTACAGTGACTTGAGCATAAGTTTTAATTATCTCTGTTTGAATGATTTACTTCTAGTTTGTGTCCTGGTCTAAGCAAACAAAATAACATTCTCCTCACTGAACCAGATAACAATCATTTTATAATATTTTTCAGTCTTTCTGACACTAAGAAACGACTGGTTGCCAAAAGAGGTCTTGTGTTCATCAGCCCCTTGTCAGCATTTGAAGAGGTGAAATCTGTTAGAGGCAGCAAACAGAGGCATCTTACCAAGGTTTTTACTATATGGCTCTTTTTCAAGTTAATTAGAGTAGATTTCAGATCACATAACAGTTAACTCCCCTTGCCACCTTCAAACAAAGTATTCTGGCCTACTTCCATGTTGTCTAACAAATTTAGTCCAACCACATATCTCAATCACTTACTGAACCCATCCGCTCCACTGACAAAATATATTTAATAAGTATCTTGTTAAAACAGAAAGAATTTGTTGTTTTTTGTTTTGTTTCTGGAAACAATTTAGTTCATGTACAATAATACCTTTCTTAAAACAAGTCTTTTTATTACATAATTTTTGTGTGCAATTCAACAATTATTTTCATGTTGTCACTACTTGGGAAGGAATAATATATTCATTTAAAAAAATAGAACATGAAAAATTTAACTATAAAAAATTATCCAGCTTTTGGACCTAATAGATGATAATATTAACTTGAATTTGATCCCTGTATAATTGAAACATATGCCATTGCAACAGTATGTCATTGGTTCCAATTTTAATGTAGGATTTCTTGAGAGTGGTGTAAGGCTAAACTAAACTTTTCACACATTTTAAAAAATCAATTTTCACAACAGGAAGACAACATGATTTCTGCTCTTGACAGAATGAGATCTGTCCATGGCTCTGTCAGAGTCATTTCTAAACATTCCAAAGTTCCAACCAAGCTTAGCCAAGAGCCAACGGACTGTGGATCATATCAGGGTGTGGTACAGGTAATCCCAGCATAGAAAGTGCCATTATATGGCATTTGGTATCTGTCCTTTGTAAATTGCATTGCAGCTAGTAATACAGTTGATCAGCTTGATGCGAAGGTAAATTACTCTCTGCTCCTTCTTGCGAACTGCTCATCTGGTTGATTTATGAATGAATTTTAGCGGCCCCATCTTTTATGGATTGTGTCCTTTTCTCAAAGTGTCATATTGTCACCCTCAGCTTCCAATTGCATGTTGTCATTTTTGTGACTGGTTTCTACATTAACATTACAGACAATCACAGAAGCTGGAGTCCCAGTTTGTCTCCAATGTCAGAGACCCTACACAAACCCACTGCTGTCTGCCGCGACATTGCGTAACCCTGAGAACGCCTGGCAACTAAGACTTTGTTCATATGCCTGTATGGATAAATACTGGGTAATCATGAGGGACACATTTCACTGATTTGTAATTAAAGACTTAAAAAGTTACGTCTAACATCAAACCAGAATCTATTCAGAGTAATTACACAATAATCAACTTAAACATTGATTAAGTTGTAACACCTTTTGTAACATAAGACAACAGAAAAAAGGTTTATACCATCAAAAAATGATGTCTAAGGGCTTTAACTCTCAGTTAATGAGTACAGTACTGTAAGTGTAATTAAGGAGAGCGGTATGTATGCTAATTAATGAAGTCTGTATGACTACTAATTAATTAGGAAAGTGAACTATGTTTCAAGTAGTTAATGAGGATGGTATGTGTACTAACTAATGAAGACTTTATTGCTACTAATTAATGAAGAAAGTGAACTAATCAATGAGGCTATATTTCAAGTAGTTTTTGAGAATATATATATAAGAATGAGCTAAGGTGTCCTTATAATGCTAAAAAAACTAATTGATTTAAATACATTTGGATTCTTAAAAACAGTGATAGTGATTTTCTATTATTTTAAGGAAATTGAATGAATTTAAATATGTTAAAAATAAAATATATCTACTTATATTGAAATAACTCATGCTAATGTTATCTTCTCTCCCAGATACTTACAAAAGCTGGTTACTGCAGGGATCAGATCTATGACATAGAGCATGGCATTTGCAGACTATGTCACTATGACACACATGCCATTTTTACGCAAATCAAGTAAGTTACTTTTTATATGAAATCATTACATCGATGTGTTTATTTCTTCTTGCCCTTTTTGAGTTTTAGCTACAACATAATAGTCCAATTCAGTGAAGTAACTTATTTGTGTATGAGTGATGTCAGAAATTCGCCACCTTTTTGTATTGTGAAATTAATACGTGATTATTTTTGTGACAGAATTGTGAAAGATTTTGCAGCCAGGGCAAAACTCGTCAATGCCAGCCCATACAATGTTTTGACAGCCAAGCAAAAGCAAAAAATGGTTGAGAATCCACAAGCTGGACAGGTCAGTCAAGTCACATGGGTCAGATGGTTTCAAAATAAGAGGCTTTAGATTGGTCAAATAAATGACTGAAAAACCTGCCTTGACTAATAATATGGGATGTCTATCAGATGATCAACACACATGCTATTATCTATTAGTAAAACACACAGGTCACCACTGCATTGCCAATTCAGTTTACCATTTCTTGTTGTTGCCATCTAGGAAACTTTTTGATAGCTTTTTGTAATAATCACGTTCATGTCAGGAAATGATATGTTCAGTGCCTTGATGTAACGTTTAGTTCTTATTGTAGATATGATTCAATGCCAACTTAAAGTCCAATGGATTTTTGTACATTCTCTGAATATTCAGTGGGGCGGCACAAATTTCTGTTGCCCATCCTCAGAGTTATCACTTCAGAGTATTGACATTTAATGTGACCTGCGGTTGTCTAGACGAGTGGTGCACTACCTTTAAGTCAGGTTGTCAGGGCTTATAATTCACATTGTGAAATGGGGTCCCCATCATTAAATAAGCTCTCATTGGAGTTTCACAGATGAAAAGGTCTGGCCACACGGGTATATACTCTCAGTCTTGCTTTATATAGTGTAGCTAACGTATCCAACATGATATTTCAGTTCTGGCATTTAGATCACATCACGCCAGTATGGCAAGGAGGGGGGCTGTGTGACCTGGACAACATGAGGACGTTATGTACTCCATGCCATCTCAAGGTCACACGCAAACAGGCAGGTGAGAGGGCAAATGTCAAGAAGCTCTCAGGTGCAAGTAGATCTGGTGACATCACAGCATTTTTTCAGAGACATTGAAATCTCTGGGGCTTTGGACAAATCAGCGTCTTGTTAAAACAGAGTAAGAAAGAATTTGTTGTTTTGTTTCTGGGAACAATTTTGTTCATGTACAATATTACCTTTCTTAAAACAAGTCATTTTATTGCATATCTTTGTGTGCAATTAAACAATTATTTTCTTTTTAAATTTTTATATTGCTTTTTTTTTAAAAAAGAAACATACCTAAATTTTTATATTGCTTTTTTTTAAAAAGAAACATACTTAAATTTTTATATTGCTTTTTTTTAAAAAAGAAACATACCTAATTTTTTATATTGCTTTTTTTTAAAAAAGAAACATACCTAAATTTTTATATTGCTTTTTTTTAAAAAAGAAACATACCTAAATTTTTATATTGCTTTTTTTTAAAAAAGAAACATACCTAATTTTTTATATTGCTTTTTTTTAAAAAAGAAACATACCTAAATTTTTATATTGCTTTTTTTTTAAAAAGAAACATACCTAAATTTTTATATTGCTTTTTTTTAAAAAAGAAACATACCTAATTTTTTATATTGCTTTTTTTTAAAAAAGAAACATACCTAAATTTTTATATTGCTTTTCTTTAAAAAGAATCATATCTAAATTTTTATATTGCTTTTTTTTAAAAAAGAAAAATACCTAAATTTTTATATTGCTTTTTTTTAAAAAAGAAAAATACCTAAATTTTTATATTGCTTTTTTTTAAAAAAGAAACATACCTAAATTTTTATATTGCTTTTTTTTAAAAAAGAAACATATCTAAATTTTTATATTGCTTTTTTTTAAAAAAGAAAAATACCTAAATTTTTATATTGCTTTTTAAAAAAGGAACATACCGGTATTCAAGTAAATTGATTCATCAAACTTTGTCTAATGACATCACTGCATATATTTTTATTTATGTTAAATTTTCTGATTTTGGTTTGTTATGCTTTTCTTTACCCTTTGTAATCTGTAAAAATTTATAAATAAAAATAAATGTCTCAAGAAGTATTAATTTTCACCTGTACATTTGTGTTTCTTCAGTTTTTATACTTATTATCAGCAGCCTCAGAAACTCCATTAACACATACAAACCCCCCCCCCCCCCCCAACGCCCCCTCTCTCTCTCTGGTTATGTCTTAGATTATTTTATCTTCTAAATGATGGTTTTTAACTTTGTTTTATCTTGTGACACTAAAACTGATTTCTAAGAGTTGGAACAATAGTAAATGCTTTACTGTGCTTCGGTGAACACAGTCCAATATAAACAATCATTCTTCCCACGCACAATAATGGCTTGGAACCAACTGGACAATGCCGCAGGGGAATCGACATCAATCGAGAGCTTCAAGCCTGCCCTGGCATCTGCTAGGAGTAAGAGCCGTTAGGATAGCAGCATCGCTCCCCCCAACTGTTGCACCATATGCCAGTACATGGATGCTTACTACCTGCTCCCAACCTCTTCACTATCTACTCACTATCTGCTCACCATCTGCTCATTATGTGCTCACTATCTGCTCACCATCCGCTAACCATCTGCTTACTATGTTCACACCATCTGCTCACTATGTGCTCACGATCTGTTCACTATCTGCTCGCCATCTGCTCATTATCTGCTAACTACTTGCTCACCATCTGCTCACTATGTGATCACCATCTGCTCACTATGTGCTCACTACCTGCTCACTATCTGCTCACTGAGTGCTCACTTTGTCTCACCATCTGCTCACTATGTCCTCACCATCTGCTCACTATGTGCTCGCTACCTGCTCACCATCTGCTCACTTTGTCTCACCATCTGCTCACTATGTCCTCACCATCTGCTCACTATGTGCTCGCTACCTGCTCACCATCTGCTCACTGAGTGCTCACTTTGTCTCACTATCTGCTCACTATGTGCTCACCATCTGCTCATTATGATCTGCTCACTATATGTTTGCTATCTGCTCACCATCTGATTACAATGTGCTCACTATGTGATCGCCATCTGCTCACTATGTTCTCACTATCTGCTCACCATCTGTTCACTATCTGCTCACCATCTGCTAACTATCTGCTCACCATCTGCTCACTATGTGCTCGCTACCTGCTCACCATCTGCTCGCCATCTGCTTACTATCTGCTCACCTTCAGCCCACCATCTGCTCACCATCCGCTCACCATCTGCTCACATAAGCATGTAGTATCGGTACCAAAAATTACAATGTTTTGACGAGAACAATCTATTAAATGAGCATATTGATCACTCCCCCCCCCCCCCCGGAGGTCACATATAAGGGTATTTCCGGTTCTCATTTTTGTATCTGAATTTTAACAAATTATTAAATTGCTGATCAGTTGCTTCCATTTCAAGTTCAGCTGGCAGCTTATTAACACAACGAAGGATTTTTAAAGATATTAACTTCGCTTATGTTCATGTGTTTGTTTCTTTCTTGGCGTGTGGCAAAATCTTCGGAAGGGTAATTGACCCACTTCCCGTCAACCTATCGAGCTGAAACTTGTCACATAGACTCGTTGCCGGTGACAACACATTCTTTCAAATTTTCAGCCCTACCCCAACTCCCAAAATTCAGTTTTTCCTTTTTTTTCAAGGGGAAGATAAAGGAAATATGATACCACTGATTTCAAGCAATAAAATTCTTGATAGCTGCGCTAAATGAAATTCGTAAAATATCGCAAGTGCGTTTGGTGCGTTATATTATGTTATGATTTTCTGAAAGGGTTGCTAAAATAAATCTGCGGTATAAAAGCGGGTGTGGTATTATAATATTAGACTAATATAGTTCAGGGGCGTATTAAAAAAAAATGGGTGGTTGTCAGCCTTGGGCTAGAGGGGGGGGGGTGGGAGATGAGGGAAATATGATGCAATGATTTCTTAAGAGCTGCAGCCATCGCTAAGTTGCGCAAAATGCATATAAAGGATTTATACGTTATACAAAAAAACAACAACAAAAAAACCCAACTTGTTTTAGGGTTTGTTTATTGGCGTACAGCTTTGAACCAGGGGCATTGCAGGAGTTGCTAGAGTTGTCACTGAGTTCAATCTGTTACTGATAATATACATAATTTGAGAGTTTGCTGATCTTCTTCACCAAAACAATTCTGCGACTGAAAGACGTGGCGGGTTGGATGTGGCCCGCGGGCCGTAGTTTCCCGACCTCTCTAGACCGCGAGCTGAACAGTCAAAATTATCAATATGTGTGCTGAGAATCAGGTCAAAACCATAACGAGGTGACCCTGACACTCAAAAGTTATCGCGGCGACAGATGTTCACTGGGCCGTATCAGTATCACGCGGGTTTGTCACCAGCGCGAGTCGCTGCTTTGATTGGCCGCCCTTTCTGTGTAGACACGAAGTAACCGACAACAAGCAGGTCTCACCATATGGTACACACAGTTACTGTCACTGTCACCAACACCCCATATCGTACATGCCGTTACTATCACTGTCACCAACAACTCCTATCGTACATGCAGTTGTTCACTATCACCAACAACTCATAAGGTACATACAGTTAGTCTCACTTTCACCAACATTTCATATCGTACATACAGTTAGTTCACTGTGACACCAACCTATATCGTACATACAATTAGTTCACTGTGACAACACCCCATATCGTACATACAGTTAGTTCACTGTGACACCACCCCATATCGTACATACAGTTAGTTCACTGTGACACCACCCCATATCGTACATACAGTTAGTTCACTGTGACACCACCCCATATCGTACATACAATTAGTTCACTGTGACACCACCCCATATCGTACATACAGTTAGTTCACTGTGACACCACCCCATATCGCACATACAGTTAGTTCACTGTGACACCACCCCATATCGTACATACAGTTAGTTCACTATGACACCACCCCATATCGTACATACAGTTAGTTCCCTGTGACACCACCCCATATCGTACATACAGTTAGTCACATTAACACCCGCACTTTAAACTCAGAAACGTTTCTCTGAAGTATTGAAGTCACGTGAATATGGGCTCTAGTTGCAATGAATCATCCGGGATGCCCCGAGTTCTTTGGTCGACTTCATCGTATCCTGATGCTGTCGTAGATTTTTTATCCTACCTTAATGTCTGTCTACTATTTCAATGCTGGAAAAAACTCCGTTAAATGGATCTCCCTCCCGAAATGCTTTCCCATCTGTTGGCCTTATGTCTGCAAACTGATGGTGTGGCAAGACGCAGCGCGTGCCGTGTGTGTCACTTGAAGGAGGGGACAAACAAGGTGAACCCTTGTATGAATGTGTATACTTTAAAACAGTACACTTGTTTGCTTATTTTTATTAGAATAAAAATATATCTCTCAGTATATTGGAGTTTACCCCGTTGGTATTTGTTTTGCTTTAAATCTTAATTGCATGTAAAATTAGATTTCTCAAGCTAGAAGCAGTTTTAGCTCTTGCGCCATTTTTAAAATGTCCTTGGTACGATTCTGAAACAAAAAATAACTAAATGTATGGCCTATAGTTTTGACCGTGGTATATTAAGTAAATTTGATTGGCACTCGTGGGCTACTAGAACTAGTTGGCTCGCCCTCAGGTGTGGCGTGGCGGATAAGGGATGGAAGAAATCGCCTTATGTTGGACTCAACTGATGGAAGGCAACCTGGGGGGGGGGGGGGGGGGGGGAAGTAGTGTAGTTCTTGCTTTCTTCATTTTCTCCCTCCATCTCAGTGGGCCTACCGGTTTGTGTAAAACACATATTAATTTCTTATTAAAAAAAATAGAAATAATTATAAAGTCCCTTTGTTTTATTTAAATTGTGAAATATGTTTTCAATCAATACGCAAAAATAATACAAATCTTCAGTGGGCAATGCTTTAGATCAGTGTTCGGAAAACTCTTTAGTCAAAAGAGCCAAAAATTAGCAGCAGGACGATTAAAGTTTTTTTGAGAGCCAGATTTCTTATCAAGAACCTCTCAAGAGCCATGTTTTTCGGAGTCAAAGCCGATTAGTGGTCGACTGGCCGAGCCGCACTCAGGTCGCTAAAGAGCCGCATGCGGCACGCTAGGCGCAATTTTCAGACCACTGCTTCAGATCACCAACTATTTAGTAAAGCAGTTTTCAACTGGTGTGTCATCCTATGTAATATCCCCACTCAAA